TTAAGGATAAGGAGTCAAAATAAAATAGCAGAAGAAGAAGAAGAAGAACGTAAAGGAAGAGGCGAAGTTCGCGAAGAAGATGGGGAAGATGAAGAGACTTAAGGAAGTAAAGAAGAAATGGTTTGAATTCAGAGGAAGCTGGAATGGAAAAGAGTATGGACGAATAACTAAGAGAGAAGAGGAAGTAGAAGATGTGAGAGAGCTTGAAGAAGAAAAAGAAGAAGTAGAAGAAGAAGAAGAAGAGGAAGAAGAAGAAGAAGAAGGAGAAGACAGCTTGACAGAAGCAGAAAGAAAAGGGTTAAGAGAAAAAAAGAATGGAGAGAAAAGCATAAAGGAAAAATAAAGATAAAGGAAGCAGGAGGAAGCTCTTACGTGGAAAGTGGGAAAGAAAATGCAAAGTGTGAGAAGCTGAAGAAGAAGTAGAAGGAGGATAAATCGAAAAAGGGTGGAGAAAAAGAAATGGTGACTGCAGATTGAGTGGTAGTAAGAGAAAAGAAGATGGAAATGTGGAAGCAGAAATGAATGGAGACAATGTGCAAAAGAAGTGGGAGGCGAATGAAGGGCGAAAGAAGAAAAAAGAACAATCCAAGACGAAGATGGGATCAAAACGAGAACTAGGAGTAGAAAGACATCGACAAAATATTTATTGAATTGGAAGCAGTCAAGGTATTAGAAGTGATAATGGTAGATGAAGAAGAAACAAAGAAGATGAAAAAGAAGAAGACTGAGAACGAAGTCAAATGGGAGGAACTGAAGAAGGCGAGAGAGAGAGAGAAGAAAATGTTGAGAAATTAAGAAAGAATTATGATAAACGAAAGAGAAAAAGAAGTCGAAGAAAACAATTAATTTCAATAAATAAAAGTGAGAAAATGCTTAAAAAAAAGAAGAAGAAGAAGAAGAAGAAGAAGAAGAAGAAGAAGAAGAATGTATATGTGTAGGAGGAGAGGAACAAAAAGGAGACGACTCTTAACTATAAGAAAAAAAAAGTTGAAGAAATAATTCGAATAAAGCAAAGAGTTGGAGGGAGAGGAGTAGAAGAAGAAAATTGGAAGAAGACGATTAAACAGAAGAAGAAGAAGAAGAAGAAGAAGAAGAAGAAGGAAGAAGAAGAAGAAGAAGAAGAAGGAATAAATCAAAGAAAGAAACAAAGAAAAGGGAAATTGCCTAAAGAGTAGGAGGTAGATGTGTAGGAGAGGAATAAAAAGAAGAAGACGACGATTAACCAAAAGAAGAAGCAGAAGAAGAAATAATTCGAATAAAGCAAAGCATTGTGGGTAGCGGAGTAGGAGGAGAAGAAAAATGGAAGAAGATGACAGTTAAACAAAAAAAAGATGAGAAGTGGAAGAAAAGAAAGAAGAAAAAATGAATCAAAGAAACAAACGATCAAACAAGAGGGAAATTGCTTAAAATGAGTCAGAAGTTTAAGGAGAAAGCGACGAAAAGAAAGAAGGAGACGATTAAACTGAAAGGGAGAACTGTAAGTATACGAAGTCATGATTAAAAAAAGAATACAAATGATGATAATAATGATACTTTCAGTATCTGTCTATATTTCCGAGATGAGGTATTATGTACATTATTTACATTATTCGGACTCTTGTCCTCATCTTTGTCGTCATATTTATTACAACATCTCGGCCGTTTGACGCTCAGGCCTTCTTCAGGTGGTTGTAATGTTGAAGTGAACCCTTTATTTCGCTCACTGGGGTAGACTGTTCTAGTTTCACGTGCCATGTCTAATGGATGCTAGTTATCAGTTATATCCTGTTAGTTCCCCTCTGCAATTTCTCCACTGCCTTAACCGGCTATTGAACTCACACTCTTTTGGGTCCTATCACTGGATCTACGCAACGCCTTTATCCACTGTATCATGTGTCCTTGAAGACATCTGCGTATGCATTTCTGGGTATTATAAACCTAATGTCTACAGCTAACATTTTTTTTTTACCGGTACTCATATTGCAATTTTTTTGTTGTTATCGCATTTTTCTGGCACTCCTTATTACTGGTTCCCATATTGTATTCATTTCTATGCTTGGTCGGCTCAGAATAATTTCATTCAGCGAGAAAAAATTGGGTAGCACAACACAGTGGACCAACGTTCCTTAAATCTGGCCAAGCAATTAACAAAAAAATAAAATAAAATAAACAAACAAACAAAAAACTCAACTTAACCCATTAATCGATCCTCTCTCATCAGAACTCAATCGAGGACAAAAATGTGCACAGTGACTAATTTGAAAAGCAAGACAGAACAGATTTCTAACAAATGTATAAGCATCATAGTATAATTTGAACACTTACTGCTTCTGCTTTGATAGGGATGGTTGGCAGGACTTAATATAGATTTACTCTAAAACCTTAACATAAAATCAGAGTGAGACTTCTTTAGTTCCGAAAACAGGTTTTGATCAAAGGCCCTAGAATACTGACGGTCGATTGAGAGATAATCAGCTATCACCAAGACAGATGCGTTAACGTACCTATGCAAATTGACCAAATTAACATTTCTTACCCTTTTTTTTTTACACCTTTTTAGTTAATCTTGCCTCTTGTGCTTTTAAGATCTTATCAGTCATTTAATTGCTTGGGTGATCAGGTTTCTTGGGTGATCAGGTCTCTTTCGATTCATCACTAACGAGGCAGAAGATTTTTCAGCACTTAATCACATCATCCCAAAAGTAGTCTCTGGATCACAAAATACTTCTATTTTCCATCATGGAAATAAAAACATTTTTAATGATGTTACGAGAAATGATATTAAAAGGGTAAACGAGAATTCGAACCATGATCTCCGATTTCTCATATTGTTTCTATATGCTGCTGTAATATGAAACGGGTTAGTTCTCTGATCAATACAATGCTAACCTTCTCAAGTCGATGGTCAACTATTGTCTATCCTATATATCTTGCTTATATGCACCCGTTTCTATCTCCCTGTATTCCTTATAAAATACCCATTCAGTCTCTCTCTATCTTGAGTGGCAAGTAGACTTTATATTGGCTGAAAAAAAATTAAATATTGTTGGCTAAGGCAATAAAATATATTTTTGTTAATTGCATTTTTTTGTAATTTCACTTCTGTTCGCGAAGACGTCCACAAACAGGAATATTGCTCCACACATTTTTTTTATTTAGTTTAATGTATCGCTAATAAGAGATAGTGTCTGTAAAACCTTATTATATTTCTGCTTGTCCTTGTCTTAGCACGAACGTTACGTTCTTCCAATATCTCATAAATAATAGACTATACAGTTCACAATGAAATCCGAAAAAGAGATAATCACACACGGGAATCAGTCAAAAAAAAAAGATATGAAGAATCGAGGAAAGAAAACAAAGGAAGCGATAATGGTCACAAGTGTTTAACACTCGCTTCTGTGAAATCAAAAAACTTATCAATTTTAAACTTGAGCCTTATTACATCTTGAAATAATAAGCTGCATTCGTAGTTATGACTGCTATTGCAATATTTTGTCATTGCAATGTTTCATTAAATATGCTATGTTTAAATATTTAGCGATGCAATAGGTGAATTTCCACGGGTAATTTGTATTGGTGGAAATGGAACTCGGAAGGAACTTATTTAATAGAGAAATATTATGGTAAACATTCCAATAGAAAAACTGTGAAACATTCGCGGGTACTACTAGTAACGAATATTGTTCATGTCTTAACATAGATACATCGAAAACTATATCGGCTGTGCTGAAATCAACCAAGATGTAGATAGTTGTTTAAAAAACATTCATGATAGTGTGTGAAAGTAGAAGTCACTGGGTGGAATCAAGTATTGCAGGAAAGATTCAAAATATTGGAAAAAAAAGAATATTAAAAAATATCTTAACAAAAAATCGGCCGAATAATATAAAATGCCGAGAAAGATTTTAGAAATACAATGGTAAACAGAATTCTTGAAAAAGGACTGTATTTAAATAGAATTCTAGGAAAGGGATTGTATTTAAATAGAATTCTAGAAAATGGACTCTATTCAAATAGAATTATAAGTAAGAGACTGTATTTAAATAGAATTCTAAGTAAAAGACAATATTTGAATAGAATTCTAAGGAAAGGGCCGTATTTAAACAGGTTTCCAGCAAATGAACTGTATTTAAATAGAATTCTAGCAAAAGAACTGCATTTGAATAGAATTCTAGGAAAGGGACTGTATTTAAATTCGATTCTATTAAAGGGACTGTGTTTAAATATAATTTAGCAAAGGGAATCTATTTAAATAGGATTCTTGGAAAGGGAATGCATTTAAATAAAATTCTAGGAAATGGACTGTATTAAAATATAATTCTAGCAAAGGGACTATATTTAAATCGAATTCTAGCAAGGGATTGTATTTAACTTGGATTCTAGGAAAAGACACTGTATTTAAATAGAATTCTAGGAAAGGAACTGTTGTTAAAAATTTCACAGTTAAAAAGAGATGGTAAAAAAAAAACATCTGAAATAATAAAAATAAATGGAGGAAAAATGTAGTATGGATGTTCTTTCCAGAACAAATCCAAAATAATATGCAACAACTGACGTTAACAACGAAAATTTTACCCTTTTAATATCATCCCTCGTGACATCATTTAAAAAAAAGAAAGAAAATAGAAGCATTTTTGGATCCAGAAAATTCTGAAGAATTCTGCTCTTAGAATGATATGAATAAGCAACAATCGTTTTGAATAACTTTGTGTTATTTAAAATATTTACATTGTTCGTAGTGTTGACCTCATCTTTATTGTCAAATCTACGATGTTTCGGCCGTTGTACGCTCTGGTTTTCTTCAGGTGATATACGCTGGAATTTTGAAGCGATCTTTTTAATTAGCCCACGAGGGTAGGAACATCGTGGATATGACAATAAAGATAAGAGCAACATTCAGATTAGTGTAAATAGTGTAAATAGTTACAATACCCCTCCATCTCAGAAATATAGACAAAAGTTGCGTTATGTAACCAAAATTAGAACAGAATTAAATAGGAACATTGCCAAATAAATTTATTAAGCTCTCCATTCATATACTGATTCTTGTAATAAATTTTGTTTGATTTTCCACATGGAAGCTTATTTGTCCGACGGTAAAATAAGGATGGCATTTCAAGAAACAGGATTTCTTTGACACACTTTAAGAAATCCATTCTCATTCTTCCTAAATATATTCACCGACCTCGCCCATGCGTAGTAAATTGGTTTTCTTAAAGACCGAAAGTATGGGGTACCCAGAGGTACGCAGGTTAAAGTCTCTGTTTCTTTCGATATGCTATTTTTTAAATCAATTTTTGAATAAAGTTGTTCCTCATCCGGATCAAATCCTACGTAAACTATCCAATGTTCCTGTCTTTATTCCGCCACCTCCATTTCACCCGCCACCTCCATTTCTCCAGCTGCTTCCATTTCTTCCACACCCCTATCATCCATTGCTCCTCCTACTTCTCTCCCTTCTTCCATTTCAAACTAGATCTGATCGGGGGATTGGAGGTCTTGAGGAGCCTGGAATCATATCTTAATTTCTGTGGTTCGCAGATCCCCCCTGATCAGGGGTGGTAGCACCGGTCATGTTCCCAGTTATGGGCAAATTAGGGCCCCCCAAGCAGAACAAAAGACTATGAAAGTATAACGATACATTTTTATAGTAAAATTACTAGCGATATATTATATATATATATATATATATATATATATATATATATATATATATATATATATATATATCTCGAAGGCATAAAAGGTTTTAAAAAAGAAAGAGCTAGAAACATGAAAATCTGTCGAAAAAATCACACAGATACAGGTTTAAAGCTGTTATACCGGAACATTACCTATTCTATTGTAATAGTCCAACCCTTACTTCACAGTCGGTGGGGGGGTGTAAACGGTAGTGTCAGAGCTATGCCGCCCGGAACTTCGTTCCTGGTAGGGCCACCCAAGGCGGACAGGTCTGGCACACACGCCGGCTAACAAGGGCTCTGGTGAAAATCCAAGGAGCGTCTGCATCGGTAACCGGCGGCTTCTGGTCGTTCCTGTCTCTGCGTCTGTGGGAATCACGCGGCAAGCAAGAACGTTATTCGAGTAGGCCTGGGTACCCTACTTCTGTAATTTATCCCAAGAATCTTCTTCTCATAACAGGAAGAAGCCGGCTAAATCCGCCCAGGGTGAATGCCGCATCAGTTCAGTACTATTGTAATAGACTCTCCCACACATAATAAGTAGTAGTAGTAGTAGTAGCAGTCGCCAGTTGGGCTCAGTGGAGTTGAGTGAGTCAGTCGATGTCGGACATTGAAGTATCAAACATCACAACTAGATTGCTGCGTCATTAACTATTATTGCAAGTTCCTAACGTTTTGTACGTCGGACCATTTTAAGACCGACTTGGTGAAATACAAGCCTCTACTGAGAAAACTACTTTACAACAAAAGCCCAAAGAAAAAAAAACGACACGAGTAAACAACTAACACAAGAGCTCAATACAGCCGTAGAGCAGACCTAGATAAACCTAGTGAGCTTTCCCTGACGATCCGCTTAGGTGAAACCTGGGTAGGTTTATATATATATATATATATATATATATATAAAATTACCAACACTACAATTTTAAATCAAAATGACCAGCATTACAATTTTATATTCGAATTGCCAATGATACATAATGACGAATAATGAATTTTATTTGTAGTTTTAGGCATATAATTACATCCAAAATATATTTAATTGATGCCATATGATTGTTCAAAACATTTAAAACGCTACAGTTAAAAAATATAGAAGGGAAATTTAAAAGAATCTTAAATAAAAAATAAATGGAGGAAAAATAAATTATAGCTGTTCTTTCCAGAACAATTCCTAAACACTGTCTACCAACTGCCGTTACCAATGAAAAACTTTACCCTTTTAATATCATCTCTCGTAACGTCATTAAAAAAAATCGAAAATAGAAGCATTTTTGGATCCAGAGAGTTCTGAAGAGTCCTCCTCTTGGAATAATGTGAATAAGCCACAAGCAGTAATATATTTACTTGAAATCATAAGATTCATCATGGCATTTTGATTCCGGCATTAAATAACTGCTGTAACCTAGAAAGGCTTATTGAATGAGGAATAACCAAAACGGAGGTTGGAAATTTGTTGTTGAATATTATTATTACATTTACTTGTATTTATGTGTGCAATCGTAGATTATTAATTTGTTTATTATTTACTTAATATGTTTGCTTATTTAAATTCTTTACTTATATAATTTAGTTCTTTATCTTATTTGTAAGACTTTTGCTTAAATTGGGAATTTATTTATTTAAACTCTTTACTTTACGGAGGTTGGAAATGAAATGGTAATCTTTATAACATCAACAAAATACAATACTCGCCAGCGGCGTGAAGTACGTAAACCACTGCTAGTGGTGGACTACTTAGACAGCATATTGCCCTCGCTTACAATTGTATCCATCGTATTTATGAGGATTGGGATATACCATTTAGTGTTCATAGGTTCGGTATGTAACAATAACCCATAGGCATGTTGATATGCCGCTAAACAATATCAACCAGTCATCCAAACATCAAATTTGTATCTTTCACATTTTCTCCTGACATAACAAATATGAAATTTGTTTTCAAAATTTAATATAAACGCATCGTACAAATGACGTCATGTACAGACGGGCATTATAGAGCTTGACAGAACCAGAAAAATGTTAACATTATACATGTTATACGCATTTTATTTAGTCACATTTTAAGGAGGGCGCTGGAGTAAAAGAGAGCCGAGATCGAATTCCAGTCTTGTTCATTGCATTCGCTTAAGAGAAAGGTATGAATACATCTCTTCCCCCTAGCTACGGATAAAATAGCAGGAAAAACTGGGCCATACAAATTTCTCCCTGTCGGCTGCAGTTTCAGAATACGTCGACTGCATCTCTGCAGGGAGCAATCCCGTCAACACCACCACAATGAGGCCTCCTAGGCGTGGCAATAAATGACATCCGCGTCCTGGGTATGACAATAAACTTCATCCGGCAGTAAGGCCTCTAATCAGGAAGGTTTCAGTAGCATGATACCACCTTTTAATTTCTGGTGTTCCTAGGTACACTCTGACTCGTTGTGGGCAAATAGTAAACCCTCAAACTGGGGTCAGAACACGATGAAAGTGTAAAAAAAAGTTTTAATACCAGCAATATATTTTTGAAAAAGATATTACCAGAAATGCATTATTACCAGCAATACATTTTTGAATAAAAAATTATTGCCAACAATACATTATTACCAGCAGTATCTGTCTATATTTCTGAGATGAGGTATTATGTACATTATATATATATATATATATATATATATATATATATATATACCCTTAGGAAAGGTATGAATCCTCTTCTTCTCCCTCCAGCTACGGGTAAAATAGCAGGTTCTATAGAATAGGTTCTATAGCCTTGGGTGGCAACTGGTCTAGGAGAAGAACAACTCTGAATTCAAAACCTGCAGAGGGTCATTTGGGGACCTTGTAGAATTCGGTGCACCAGATCTCTGTATTCGTCCCTTCAAAAAGTGTGGATGATCCTGCCCGAGACCTTCCCCACTATAATCAAATCTCATGTGGCGGTGTCGGGCTGTCGGTTTCCTGGAAACTGATCTGCTTGACCCTCATACGTCGAATCTCGACGGGAGAGTCGATTATTATTATATTCCTGGAATGAATATTTCGCATTTCCAACTTTGGTTGTTTTCATTTGAAATTTTTTATGCATATGATTGATTTTTTTTAAGATCAAACGTCTGCTGTCTGATGTTTTCTATCACCTCTTCTCTCTACCACCACAAATTATTGATGCACCTCTTCGATGGCCACCATAGAGACAGTTACCTTCTTTTCAATATGAAGTATGGTTGTTTTGGGTATTATCTGAGGGGATTTTCGCTATCCAAGCACTGGTTTGTTTTTTTCTTTTACGATTTCCAACATTCTGTTGAGCTATTTCTGGATCAATTTTGCGGACCAACGTCACCCATTCCTTTTTATTAAGAACTTCAATCACGGGATGTTTTGCAAAAAAATGTCCAGCAGACATTTTACTTGCACAAAGGTTAAGACCTTCTATCTACTCATTGGTAATGGCATTGCTTTAGTTTCAGTACAAACATAGATGGTTTAATAAAAGTTTACCATACTAATTTCAATCACATACCTTGGGTCAACACCTGGTATGTTTTAAGAGAATTTTGCTAAAATTTTAAAAGCTGGGATTGTTTCCTCATGTTGACTAAATGACTGTAGTGTGATTCAAAACCTAGTCCCATGAAACGCTAATTCGCTATAGATTCGGATATAATTATTGAAAATCATTATAAAATATCCATTTTTATCGTAATTAACGACTCCCCTCTGAAAAGGGATGTTACTGTTGTTTCTCAGCCTCAAATATTGTTATGGTCTAAGTTCCTTGTACCACGGTGACGGTCCAAGGTTAGAACCAATGAAAGAATTACACGAACAAAGGTATGGAATACAAAGATATATTACAAGAGAAACACAGGGTGGGGCAGAGCAACTTGCTTATTTAAATTTGGCGCCCTAAAGCGATGGTTGCTTCAAAGATGGCAGGGATGGACTTATTTGAGAGGGTGGG